AGTTTCAACATTTTGTTAAAGATTCTGCTTCCATAAACATCGGTCTTAATATCACACAACAAATCCATCTCTATCTATAGAAATATGTCCAAGATAGATAAGCAATGAATCCATAGCGTAAGCGAAAGGCTACCTGTATGTCTACGGTTTCCCAGACAGTATACAACGATATCTCCCCTGTGGGTACCAGGCTCATCTTTTATATATATATATATATAGCGGGGGGACTCGGTATATAGCGGGGGGACTCGGACGGAGGGGAACAAAAATACACACCTCGGTAGTATACATGTGTGCATAACTTATTTCTACGCAATTGAACGATGTGGCCCAAGGATGGGTGGTTCCTTCTTCTGTGGCCGATATGTTCATGACAACATGAAGTTCACAGCAGTGAAATGGCGCAAACCACACACACGAGCTGCTGTGATGCTGGGGGGAGGGGCGTGGCTATTGCTGGTACGCATACATACAACGGCGGGCAGCAGCAGCAGCAGCGGCAGCAGCGCTTTGCCTGATGCATGAGGGTTCAATCTGTTACAAATATTGTCCCTCCCTTTTGCGGACGAAGAACAACTTCAGGCATAAGCCAGTATTGCGGGTCGCTCGTGACCACTCCAGACTCCAAACAATGAAGAGTGGGGTGGCGGGTACGTGTACTGCTGCTGCAAGCACGCCAGGGTGGGCAAAACTCGCCACGGAAAACAGCCGTTCTCGGGAGCAGTGCAAGGAACATTCTGGAAAAGCCACTGAAACAGCAGCCGTTGTATGTGATCCTAACCCACTCCACTTGATCCATTGCATGCCCACGCGCTTCCTCAGAGGTTACTAGCAGCAGTGTACCAATCCCACCGTAGTTAACAACACGTGACACAGCAGCGTATGCATACATGTGGCGGAGGATAGCAAGCAAGGTACAGCAGTTGTAGGTACAAGGCTGCGCTATTTCCTCCGCGCTCACCGCGACTCTTTTCTTCGGAGCATGCCCGACTTCCTCTTGAGCACCCCGCACTTGGCAATCGCATTATTCATCATGACGCCCTTTGGTACCCCCAAGGCCCTTTAGGCGGGTATGACAGGGCCCACCCCCTCTCTGGTGGAACTGTTTGCTAGACGGCGGGAAGCGGGCTAAACAACAACAAGGCAAGGCGTGGGGGCCCCGCTAACCGGACTACCTGTGGTACGGCTGTAGGTCTCCAGAGAGCAGAGAGGCAATGGCCGGGCTCGGTTCTCTTGTTCCTCCTGTTGTTCCCTGCCCTTTGTGCGTGCTGGCTGTGCAAGCAAGGTACGGCAGGCGGTACATGTGGGGCAACTTGTAGCCCAATTGAAGCCATGGTCGACTACAGCAAGTGGGACAACCTCGATTCTGATGACTCTGACTCTGGCTCTGATGGTGCAGCGGCGGCGGCCAAAACGAAGCAGCAGCCACCGTCGGCCCGGAAGGCCGCAGACGACCAGCGCCAGCTGGACCAGGCAAAGGCCCTGAGGTACAGGGTACTTCTTCCATGCCTTCACCACCATAAAGATGAAAAATTCTAGGAGTTGACGGTGGTATGTACAGCACCAGCGAGACACGTGGTGGTTGGGTATGGCATTTCTGCCTACATGATGAGGAGATCCTGCGGCCACCGAGTTCAACGGTCTTGTTCTTTGAACCACTCGAGCCAGGTTGCACACCCAAGGGTCGCTTCCGTTCTATCGGAAATGGCGCTGTGCGCCTATGCTACACGTGGCTATTAAGGATTACCGGAGCACTTCGGCACCTTTCTCTCAATGAAAACGTAGAATGGCACGCGGTCAAGCAGGGTTGTGGACAACATCGATACGGGGAAAACATCCAGCATGCCAGCTCACATCACGGGCGAAATACGCTCAGAAGCGCAACCAACCAACCAACCAACAGCCGCCGTGTGACTCTCATCTCCCTGCCTCTGCTGCGACCTTGTTGCCTTGATACCCTCAGACTCCAGGGCAACTCTGCTTACGAACTTGGCGATGTGTCCAAGGCGATAGCGGCGTACGACGCCCAGCTTCGGGTCCTGGAAGGTCGCAAAGGTGCACACTGCTACATACACAAACCGTATTGGCGTTGTTTCAACCCTACAACCCCGTCTCCGGCGCCCAGTTTCCCGCGATCTACGGCGGTAGTAAGCAATTTGTTACATCACGTTCACTTCTCTTCGCCTTGAAATCATTCCCTCGCTCTGTTGTGTGGTGAGGGGCCAAGCACGAGGTAATCTACTGCAGGACAGCCTGCCGCTCGCTGTGAGGTGCAACGCAATCGAACCGCTTGAACCGCTTCGCTACAAAGGTACACCTTTTGTGCTGACCATACTCTTTTAACCCACACATGAAAACGCTCTTTGGATGCAGATGAAGCAGCGGTGGAGATGACGTACGGAGCCCTCCTCAACCAGGCCTCCGGTTTCATCAGCCTCAAGAAGTTCAAAGAGGCAGAAGCGCGCTGCTCGCGGCTCCTGGCTAGCGCGACGCCCAGGGACGGGACTAAGGCGTACGGCGGCGACGAGGCGCGCACCAGAGCTCTCCATTTCAGGGGTTTCGCGAGGTGAAAGTCTTGCCGCTGTCTACCGCAACGGCCTTGTGCATCCGCACCGTTGAATCTGGGCGAATAGGATGGACCAGATGGTGTGTCAAGGCGTGAAGTTGTCGGCGGGGTCGATTCACTCGGTGCCTTTCATTCCATTCTTCGAAGAATCGCATCTACAACAGCGACGTGGTGTGAGCCCGCTTTTGCTCTTTTGCGGTCACGCGGAGAGAAAAATCGCCTTGGCTTTTTCCGGCACACGCAGTGCGTTTTCTCAATAAGGAAACCAACCCTCGACTCCCCCTCCCCTCCTTCACCGCAGGCTTCGGCTGGGTTTTTTCGACGGGGCGTGCTCTGATCTCAGGAGCTCGCTTGCGGCCGGCACATCAAGGGGCGACGAGGCCAGAGCCTTGCTTCTGGAAGCAGAGGCGGGATCGGCCATGTCGACCTGCCCAGACCCCGAGGCCGAAGGAAGAGGTGGGACCCTCTCGCTGCCAGTGTTCCGACAAGTATCTGTATACATCGAGCGTAGCTCTGGTTGTTGCTGCTACCGGCATTATTCGCCAAGATTACCTCGCAGAAACCAAACAGTACTCTGGGTGGGAACCCGCCGATGAGACATATGGCTAGTTTCATCAGATTGATCCTTGAGTCTGGATGCGCCTGATCCGATATCCCTTCATCTCTTGGTATTGATGTTTCGTCGCACCCCCCTACCGAGGTGACAGTTGCCGCGTCCCTCGCGGCTACCGCCGGGCCGGCTGCAATAGCGTTCGGGTTTGTTTGAAGTATGGCCTCGAAATCGCTGCGGACTCTTCTACCCTAGCGCAACACCTCACCCACCCTTCATTTGGCGTGCCGCACTACAGCATGGATGAGAACCAGGACCGTGGTTTTGGAAAGACTGCTGAAACCGAAAGACGTTGCTACGTAGAAGTGGTTTTGGGACACAGAACCAGGAGGGCTTTCGTATCACGCACCCGCGTGTTCTTGTTCTACGTTTCGTGTGTCCCCAATCGCGCGCAGAGCATCTGCGGCAAGGGCGCGGCCGCGAGGCGGCGAAGAGCTTTCGGGACGCCGCTTCTCGCGCCCGCCGTCGACAAGATGCCGCCGGCGCAGAGGCCGGCGCAAGCGCTGTTGCGGCGACGGTGGCCCTCTCCCGAAACCTGCGCTTGGAGGGCATTGCCGTCGCCATGGCGGGGGATCCCCCGTCGGCGGAGATGCTGTTGAGGGCGGCGTTGAGAGAGTTGAGGGTTGAAGGAGGCGCTGGCAGGGTGGGCGGAGGTGGTGGTGGAGCGGTGGAGGAAGAGGGCTTGACCCTCGCCGCTCTTGGAAGCTTGCTCGCTCAGCGAGGGTGAGTGAAAGAACGAAGCAGTTGGCATATGGCTGCCGTTCATCGAAAGTGTCGGGGCTCGCCGGGGTTTTCGGCGTGCCGGGTGGCCGTCTCGAAAGAGAACCATGCTCAGTCGGTTGCTGTTTGAACTCTTTAGCACAGCTACCGGGTACACATTTGTCCTAACCGGCACTTGGCTTCTGGGGGCGCGCTACTGCGACCAACGCGCCTCGAAGCCCTCCGTTCGTGGTGCCATTGTGCAGCTCGCTACGTTCTATCCCAACCACGCAGGAAACTCTACAGTGGCCCCTCATCCCCCGTCTCTTGCTGCACTTGTCATCCGTTTGCTTTCCTACCGCTCACGCCGTGCCACCTCCGCTTCCGTGTCTCGACAGCAAGCACGCCGACGCCCTTAAGCCGCTTCGAGAGGCCGTGGCAGTGCTCGATGAAGCGATTGCGGGAGTGTCGGCGAATGAGGGTGGCGCGGCAAACAGGTTCGACTTTTCAGTTCAATTCTCGAGAGGGATTCGCCCTATGGTCGGTCAATGCACAGCAACCCCCGCGAAATTTGAGGTAGACGAGCGCCACGTCGTACGAATTTTTCGCTCGGTCGCGTTTCGCCGTCGAAAGATTCCACTCAACTTACCACGCTATCCTATTCGGCCTTCCGCCCGCCTCCTCAACCGGCTCCGATGCACGCTGTCGTGTCACGAATATTCAGCAGCGCCGGCACGAATGCCGGGAGCTCTCGACCAACGCCCTCGACCACCGAGGGCAGGAATACGGCCCTGACGCGCACCCTTACAGGAACGCTAGCTTTCTTAGGAACATCGCTTCTGGCCCCAGAGGTGCAACCGAGCGCCAATGACGGCAGCAACAGCAGCAGCACCACCACCACCACCAGCAGCGTTAGCGGTGGCGTCACCCCCGGCGCCATCAAGGAAGGAGAAGAGAAAGTGACCGCCCCGGCGCCAGGCTTTTCTTGCGACGACAAAGGGCCGATAGTGGCAGACTCAGCGGCAGCAGGGATTTCCAAGGAAGCAGACGAAGCCATCGATGTGCTCAAAAGAGCCCACGAAATGCTGAAGGCTGAAACGGCGGCAATGACGGCGGCGGGGCCCGGCCAAAAAGACGGCCCGGCCGGGGTTTACTCTGTGGTCGGAGAGAGCCGCGGGGAAGCGGACGTGAGGAAGCAGACGGCCAAAGTCCTCGACACGCTTTCGGAAGCCTATGGTCGCGAGAAACGCTGGGAACGTGCCAGGTGCGTCTCGTCGAGAGCAGGGAACCCCTGGCTGAGGTGGGGCGTGTTGAAGCCTTGTCTCTTGGCGCGTGCAACTGCTGCCGTGTGTGCATTTCGTCAACTCCTTCGCGCGCATGCTATTCTTGGGGCTGTGGAACAACCATGTGTTCTGTTGGCGCTAGGTTGAGAGTGCGAAAACTCCGCCCTGCAATGATCGTGTGCTCCTCTGGCTCACACCCTGCGAGCCGGTGTTCATCTGCAAACCCACCCATCAGGCCACGCGTAAAACTATCGACCTCCCGAGATACGTTATCTCCGCAGCGATCGATGGTGGTTGCCGTCAGCTTGGAGGCCGTGTTAATTCTCACGCCCCGTATTTCATCGTCGTTTTTCCCACTTTGTGGGTTGTGCGTTTCTCTAGGTCGGCCGCGGAACAGTCTCTGACGGCCTGGCGCAGCCTCGGCGTGGCCGGCAGGGTCGGTGCGGCTGCAAGCCTTTTGTCGCTGGGGCATCTCCTGCTGCAGCTGCATGGGGTAGGGGCTGGCTTCGAAGAGGCGAGGTAAGCGGGCCCCGAGCTGTTGCCGTTTGTTTGTGTGTGTTCTTTCTTTATTGGCACCGACCGCGCTAACCGGCTGACCGATGAAAAGACGCCAGTCGCAGTGCCGTTGAAAACGCAACAGGCTGCAAAAGGCCATGATCTGGGACCCCGTAAGGGGTAGGCTATACTACTCTCCGGATTACAGACAGATGTGTGCGTGTGTGTGCCCACAGTAGACGCGTGTCAGTAGGCCGTGAGCCAAGATGCTTCCGGCGCTATTGGCGTTTGCTCTTGCGGAGCCCCCAAGCGGGTTTTCTCCGGGTGCCTGCAGGGTGTGCGGAACATGTCAGTTCCCCACCACCAATTTCTGCCGTCAGTTGTAATAGAGTTTCGTTCGCTAGCCGTCTAGGTCACAAATGGGTCGTCGCCCTTGGCGTGTGAATTTCCACCCGATGACACAAGTTACGTTTCACGGGAAGCCTTCGAAGTTCGAACCCGTCGATCTGGCAAGTAGGAGGGAGGCCTCCTCTGGAAATTGTCGTCGTTGCGTGTGACTTGACTCTCCGAACTCTATAGCGCTCGATGGGAGGAGGCAGCGACGTGTTTCAAAGATAGCGCGGAGCCCCCATCAGTTGAGGCAGAGGTTCGGCTCAAGATTGCCGGCTACTACACCAAGGTGGCGCGGTCCGACCCTGCGCGCCTAGAGGTAAGGGAGCAGCTACACAGGGACGATTTGGCAAGTAGTGGTAGATACGCGTGTCCGGGAGTGCCTTCTTCACGTCATACGCGCGGGTTGTCCCGAAATCTGTTTTCGTGTGTTGTCTTCGCGCGTGTGCGCGGTGTTGAAACGCGTTAGGATGTACCCTTTCTTTTTCGGCAAAATCGTTTTGAGCTGTCGTCCCGCAAAGATTCGTATATCTCGTTGTACTTTCGCCCTTGAGCGCTCGGACCTGAGTAGTGTGAATTGGTTACGTGGCCCTCGTTTACTCTTCGGATTCTCGCTGAAAGATTGAATACCATGGTATGGATACTATGTTAATAGCCCCCGAACTCTTCCCTACCGGTGCCTGTATGTCGCTTGGGCGGAACGTCTGCGATCGAACTTCCCGAACCTCGCCTGGACAGTCTCTAGGGGGGAAAATCTCAGCCCATTATTCCGAAGCGGCCGTGCTATTCGCTCGCGAGCGGGACGAAAAGACGAGCTCTCTGAAACGGGCGGCTGCGGCCGTGGCAGCAGCCCAGGCGCCACGGGACAAGACGGCAGAAGGTTCGGGGAGCGCGGAGCCCGTACCACCGCTGCCCCCAACGTTGGTGGATTCGCTCGAGCCTGATGGGAGGTCGCGCTGGGTGAGTGGGCTCCGATCCGGGAGGCTCGGAGACTTATTCGGTTTCGGCTGTGGCCTTGGTGTGAGATGCTGTCGTTGTGGCCCTCTGAAGCCACGCGAGGGAGACAGGTACCGGCACGCTTGGTCCTATGCGGAAGGTTTGCCTGCAGCAGTCGGTGTAGAGTCTTGTGCAGGTGCTGAAAGTGGCGGCCCGTGCTTACGGGTGTCGGACGCGAGCTGTGGTCTTGCGGAGAGGCTTGGTCGGAACATGCTCGTGGCAGTCGTGGTGCACCAAGCGCGAGTTGCTTGAGGTTCCTCCTCTTCAAGCCTATTGGTCAGCTGCTTGGCGTCTCGTCTGAACGCGTGTATTCCGTTCAGAGCCGTCGGGTTTTGCCCCGTCTGAAACCCCCCATGCGCGTCCCAGGAACTGGCGGAGAAAGAGGCGTTTGCGTGGGAGGGATACGCGGGGGCTGCAGGGGATGACCACGAAGCGGCTGTCAGAGCTCTGACCAAGGCCGAAAAGCTGCTGGTGCGCGGTTTGGAAATACGTAGTTTTTGTTTTTTTCTCCCATCATTGGACTCTGTCGTCTGCCCCTCTGGCCCCTATCCTCCACTTCTACTAGCTAGACGACCCAAACGGGGTCACATAGGAGGGGGGGGTTGGACCCCCTCCCGCGGTTCATGCCTGAGGTATTTTTATCGCGAGAAGGGTACAGCAATCCCTTCCCTCGCGACATACGAAGTCGTAGTGTTGCTGGTTGACTCTTAGCATTGTGCAAGCGCGGACACGGAGTTTTTTTCAGTCAAAATCCAACGACGAGGCATGTGGGTAGTTGGTACAGTAGTGGTGTGGCACAAGCGTATTCATTTTTTTTTTCTGTAACTTGTCCACCTTCGATGCCGGACGCATCTGCTCTCTGCGACAACTTGATAGCATGTGCCCCACTTCCTGATGCTAGTGTAATCGTTTGCTCCACGGCGTAGCGGATGGTGCCCTTCCCCGTCGTAGATTGCGTCGAGGGCCCTTCCATATCGGTCTTGTGCCAGCGTTTTTGCTCATCTGGGTGACGCTACAGCGAATCGTGGACGTTGAGCGCGAGCTTCTTTCGCTCTCAAGCAATGAAGGGCAGTGTAGCGAGGGGGCAAAGGGTTGCTTGTATCCGTGAATATCTGACAATCGTTCGCTTCCTCTCGTTCACCGTTGTTGTTGTTGTTGTTGTTGTTGTTGTTGTTGTTGTTGTTGTTGTTGTTGTTGTTGTTGTTGTTGTTGTTGTTGTCGTCGTCACATTCAAAACCGTTCCGTTCTCTCTGCCCAGTACCTTCGTATGTCCGTACCAGTCTAACACTTGACGGGATCGATTCCCGTGGTCACAGGCTAACTTTCCCAACAATGGAGTAAATCCTCAATCTTGGCCGTTTGACGTTGTCGCCACACCGGAAGGATCACGCGTCTGTATCGGACAAGGATGAACGCTGGACTCTTCGGAGGGTCGGGATCTTGCACAGCCTGGCGTTGGCTCTGGCGCGGAGCGGAGAACACGCGATGGCCGAGAACAAGCTGCTGGAAGCCATCCGAGAGCTGCAAGAGCTTGACGGGGTCGACTCTAACGCTGCAGCCTGTGCGCACAAGGCAAGCGGCAATTTCTCTTCATAGCTATGGATGTCAACGGTCCCTACCACTCTGGTACAGGTTGGGCGGACCTTACTCGTTAGAATTTCTCGACGTGTACCTGTCAACGGCGGTTGTGTCCTGGGCAACTGTGAATACATGCGCATGCCCCGCCGCTCACGCCCCTCGGCAGGACACGGGTGGGTCACCTGGAGCTCATCTTCACGAAGTCGCATCTGATCCCCTTGTAGAACTTGTCGTTAAGCACATCGATATCCCTATCAACAAGCCTGACACGTCGCTTTGCGCGCGACATTTTGAAGCCCCCAGACTGTCGCTTCTTCGTCAATCGTCGATTTTCTCGTTCCTTGCCTATCACGAACCTGGGACAGTTAACCTGACCCCACGTGATTAATGCCACAGGAAACCCTGACCGATCTCTACAAGTACCTGGCAATCGCACGGCGCGCTCGAGGAGACTTGCCCGGAGCCAAAGAGGCGTTAGCCAAGGTGGAGACGTTGGGAGGATGCGAAGGCCGCGAAGAGTTGGAAGGCCTAAACCGGCTCTTGGCAGAAAGTGCGGTCTCGGTTGGTTGAGCCGGAGTGGCAAACACGGGCATCCAGATCGTGCCCCGACCGTTCGGAACTTCACGCAGCCGCGTGTAGTCAAGTGGGTTTACATGGACACGTGTCCTGCTGTGACGTGGATACAGGGTAGGCACGCGGGGACACGCAGGGACTTTCAGGAGGGCGTTGTGATGTTGCTGCGAGTGACATTCAGGTATGAATTCACTCGCATGTCTGCTCCACGGCAATGGTGATGCAGCCGGGTGGGGGGCTGTGTGCATCACACAGCAGTGTGAAGCTGTGTGTATCGCGGGGCGGTCGACGTTATTGTTGTGAAGGATCCCTGACGGCAGTTTGCTTGGGACAGCAGTGCATATACATGTCTTGCTGTTGTGCACGTCGACGAGTTTCCACGGTGGATGTGTCACTGGTGCCTGTAGTGACACACGTAAAAGGGCGCAATGTCCGTCTGCTGCACAGAAACAGGAGGCTATATATGTGCATCATGCAACAACGTGTACCGCCGCGCATTCCGGGTTGACTTTTCCTCCGACGCTGATGACTTTGTTGTGACAGTACACATCACACGGCAGATTATTTGGCAAGCTTTGTCCTGTTTGGACGATTGTGAATACAGAGTGCTCACAATAATGTGCGGCGACTTGCGACCGTCTAGGACTATTTCGCGGGCAGTGAGCTACTGCTACCGGGGTGCGATCCAGGCAGAAAGAAGAATGCCCTAACAACCAAGCAACACCGTGCTGCACTACTGCTGGTTGTGATTTCACACGCTGGATGACACAAACATGGTGCATTGTTTACCGTTTGATGGACAAAACCTTTTGCATCGTCACAGACATGGTGCCTTCGAAAAACCTCTCATGAGTGTATGGAAATAACCTGGCTGAGGGTGCCTCGATGTCGTGGAAGAGTCGATCAAGCAATGATTTACTTTCACTTCCTCCGTCGACGCGTATGCATGTATTCGAATGAGGCACAGTTCGCTTTTAACGTGGAGCTCTAGCACGAAATTATGGCGGTGCGAAGGAGCGTGGGCATGGCGTGAAGAGTTGAAACGTTGAACCAACGACACAAGAGCGGCCATCTCGTTGTTCGTCGTATGCAACACGGTCGAATGGCATCGGGTGACGGGGCCCAACTCCATTGTTTATTCACATGATTCCCATGGCGCACCATGGAACACCATGATGCACCAACACTTCTCGATGGCGCTCTATGAAACACCATGAGAAAGTGGTCATGGTCCCCACCAAAAATCCCATGGGAAGCGTGACGGTGCATGCGTTTTATTGGTTCCCATCAGATTGGCCACAAGATCTACAGTAGACTAGACTACATCTCATGGCGCGGCATGCATGGAGATGAAAATGTCCACGACGTGGAACAAATATTGTCACATCCTTTCTGTATCTCAGGCTCCGTACAAAGTCACGCACACGCTCGTGAATTGCTTGAGCAACATGCGGTCGCGCGCGCAGTTGGTGCCACGGCTCGCGGAGCGCGATTTTTGACACGGGATACAGGGCGGGGCATACACGAGAAAGAAGAAATAAATGACCCCCCCACATTCATTTGTCTGTGTCTCCCCTCGCCCCGAATCTTCCTGCCGCACAAATTCTGTGCCTCTCCCCTCACACAGAAACTAGTGGCTACAGACTGTACCCGTTGGAGTTCCAGTGGTAATTCTCATAGGAGGATGTCTTGAAGTCTTTCGAGCGTCGATTGAAACATCTCCGAGACAAGGTCGAAGTTCTAGGAAGACGAAGGGCAGTAGCCGGCCTCGATGCCCGCGGTATGCTCTCGTGGCTGTGCGGCATGCTTAGCTCCGCGCAGGTCATTTTGGCCTCGGTTTGAAATGATACTTGTGAAACCTCGCATGAACGTTTGCATTGTGTGTTGCTTCTCGAGAGAGGAAGGGGGACACACACGAGAAGGCGCGCGGGCGTTGACTTTTGTTTTGCTTGTGATCGCTTGCGTGCGCAGAAACCAGCACGAGGATGCGAACAAACTCACACTCGCATCTTTGATATTGTACATCACAAGACGACCAGGCAGGTCGTCATGAGTTACTCCGCAACAATACACGACTTCCACAGTCAGTCCAAACGTCCAAACGACGCGTCTTGTACATTGTGATCCCTCCCTAGAGGACGCCGTTGGGAGCGAACTGGTTCACTGTGGCTGATGGAAGTGCAGCAAGCGCGCACCGGTGGCGGTTTTAGAACACACGACCTCGAAGGTGGTAGTGTTCGGCCCATCAACCATGGGCATGAGTGATTCTGTACGTTGCACGGAGGAAGGAACGTTGTTCGCAATAATGGGTTGTCGCATCTGAATGTTCCCAGGGGTGGGAATCACAGCTGAAAAAGGCCACAATATTACATCGATGAACCCACCCTTCGGCCCCCGACATTCGACATGATGTGTTGACCTAACGGATCGGGTGGTACCGCCAATATTGACAAGATGGCGATATCGACACAGTCTATGTACGTGTTGATGATTATGCAAGCAGACGTGAATGGATTTTTGCCTTATAGAAAATGTATGTGCCACGCACAAAGGCGACATATTTCTAGCGATTTGAATACTCTTGCGTATGCGCCAAGCATGCATGCATGGCCGCGTGAATCCTCCTCGCGTCGACAGTGTGAAAACGGCTTGGTGTGGTAATCATGATTCGTACCCTGGAATTCTAACATTGCAACGAGAGTATGCATGTTGGTACCCTGAACTTATGTAGGTCTTGACCACTTGCGATGTTGTTCACTCGCGTCGTGATGTCGGATTCGAGGGGCGCGGGTGCGCGTCCAATCGGACAAGGCGAAACAATAACGGGAGAGTCTGCGACGAGGATAAGGCGGGTGGGAAAATTATTTCTTATACATTTACAGTAGTTCATGGCAATCAGACAGGCAGTAACAGTGTACAGTTTCGTGGAGGGCAGCAGGTGACCGGCTCGTAGGCATTTCAGCAAGCTCAAAAGCCTCGCTAAATAGGGGATGCCCTGACTGGTATACAAGATCTTTATTGTTTCTGTCTGGTCCTTCCCGCAACGAACCTCCCCATTCCTGGTATCGCATTTGAAGATGTCTGCTGTTTTATTGCGTCCCGAAACAGGAACCCCACGCCTGTAGAGCGTTGGCACAAGGATCCGTTCGATTCGTAGGCTGACCAGTCCCTTGTACCCTGGACTGCAGTATCCACGGATAGAGATGAGTTTGTGGTGTTTTTTCAAGAAACAGCTGGATACAACCCCCCCCCCAGAACGAGGAAAGGAAGGGTGAAACAGGGTAAACCATGGTCAACACACGACCGAGTGTTCATCGAACCAATCAGCGTGAAACAACCCCAGCCATTACTTTCCTCCACGCCGACGTTCGCCTTGCCGTATCACGGATCATAGAAAGCCTGGGGTATATACCCTGCCATTCTTTGACAATGTGTACACGATTTGCGGAAATATACGCTGACCTTCGGGCAATGGGATCCTTCCTTTGCCCTATTTCTCAGCAAGAATCATTTTCCGTTCCGACAGCCATTAACACGGGATTTCCAGTTCCAAATAGACGATGACAACCGACATCCGAGACATGCTCAATGGTTGAAGGCAGTATGGTTGGTGGCCACCGTTTGTTTGGGACTGGATGATTCGTGTTCTTGGTTTCCTTCGGTTGGAGCGGAAAGTGGTTCCTGCGGAGAACATGGCCCACTAAAGGGTCTCATTGCCCGTCGAGTCAGGGTACACTCCCGAAGTACCATTCCAATGAGCGACCGACCCAGGTTTCTGTGACACGGCAGGGTTGAACGTGGTCGTCGACGAGTCAGCTGGGCTCATTTCAGGCTGATGTGAAGCATGTATTCTGAGTCGCATTTTGTCCAGGGAATACCGTGCTGTACCGTTTACCCAAACTACAATCACATTGTCGTAAAACAGCTTTGTTCGAAACCTTTCCATCTTTCCACCAGCTGCCCACACTTGCGGGATAGAGATGAGTGTGTGCTGTTCCTCTTCCCCCCCAGGAACTCAAAATACAATGAAGAGACATGCATCGGTCCAGCGGCTCCACTTGCAACACTCTCTCTTGTCCTTCAACGCCCTCATCATGGTATAGACTAGCCTAGCAAATGCTTCAGATTTTGTTGTGTAGATCATGTTCGACGACAAAACACGCCAGAGAAATAACTCATATCGGGCATCATGGGGGCACGGTGTCTTGTTGATAGGACCTCTTGACGTGCCCCTACACGGTGTTGGCATTGCCATGATGTTCTTTTCTCTCGTACAACGGACGTGCGAAATGTGATACATGGCTTGCTGTCTGTGTGGCTCAGTCTAGCGGGCTCGATACAACTTGGTTGATATCACGGTTTCATGCGTCCATTGTGAGCGTGGCGGAACAGGTATCCCGAAGACCTTGTAGGGACTAGGACGAGGATCCGTACGATTCGTAGACCAATCCAGATTCATGTGGAAGATCACATGTTCCGTTTGATCAGCAAGTGCTTCGTCGACATGCAGTCCATATGATGATTCTACCACTCGTGTTTGTGCGGTGATTGGCACCCCACCAAATATTTGTAGGACGCCATGCCTTGGCCCAGATTACCACATCGTGGCAAAACAGCTTTGTTCGAAACTTTCCTATCCGCCGTCCGCAAGTCGGTCACACTTGCAGGATAGAGACGAGTGTGTGCTGTTCCTCACCCCCCCGACAACTCGATTGACCCATCGTTCCAGCGGCTCCACTTGCAACACTCTGTCTCGCCCTTCAACACTCTCATCATAGCATAATGCTTCAGATTGTTTTGTTGTGTAGGTGTAGATAATGTTCGACAACAAAGCACGCTGGAGAATGAACTCATATCGGACATCATGGGCGCACGGTGTCTTGTTGATAGGACCTCCTGACGTGCCTCTACATGGCGTTGGCATTGTAATGATCTTCTTTTCTCTTGTTCAACGGAAGTGCGAAACGTGATACATGGCATACTGTCTTCGGCGTATGCTTCCTGGCCTCGCCTTTCCCGGGGAGTAGAATGTCCGAACGGTCACGTCTGACACAGCCATTCATATCCCGTGCGTGAGCTCAACCTGAGAACACGTGCTGCCTGTGTTTGGGTAGGGGTCAGTGACTGGCTGTGTGGCCGTGTCTAGCTTGATGCAGCGTTGTTGATATCACGGTTTCATGCGACCGCTGTTAGCGTGGAGGAATAGGTATCCCGAAGACCTGTTAGGGACTGGGACGAGGATCCGTACGATTCGTAGGCCGACCAGATTCATGTGGAACAGCCCAAGTTCCGTTTGATAAGCAAGTGTTTCGCCGACATGCAGTCAATACGATGATCCTACCACTCGTGTTTGTGCGGTGGTTGAGGTCCCAGCTAATCATTGGAGGACACCATGCGTTGGCTTTGCAGCGAGCTCCTGGTTCCTCATCTACAATGCTGAAAATGCGAGCTTATCGTTATTGAACCCTGGGCCATGTACTGATAGTGATACGCTTGTGTTGACTCTGCAAGAAACAACTAGATACAAGCCCCCCCCAGAACGAGAAAAGGAAGGGTGAACGACGCAACAGTGTAAAGCAGGGACGGAACGCGACCGAGGAAACATAGTTCGAATTAGCGTGAAATGATCCCAGCTGATTCCTCGACGCCAAAGTTCACCTGGCCGTGTCACAGAACGCCCAGGGCATACCCCGCCCTTTCCTGGAAAACTCACTCCTACTCAAAAGCGTATCTTGACCTGGCGAAAATTGAAGCTTTCCGATCTCCGATTTCTCCGGAGGAATGACTTGACGCTCCATCAAATGGACGCCATTCACACGAGTCTTCCAGTTCCAAACAAACGATGGCAACCGACATCCGAGACATGCTCCGTGGTTGAAGGCAGCATGGTTGGTTGCCATGATTTGTTTGGGGCTAGTGTGGTGTCTTTTGATAGGAGCGGAAAGTCTTTCCTGCGAAAACTATCGCCCACGAAAGGGTGTCATTGCCCGTCAGGCCAGAGTACACTCCCGAAGTACCATTCCAATGAGCGACCTGGGTTTCCGTGACTTGGCAGGGTAGAACGTGGGCGTTTCAGGTAGGCTCATGTCAAGCTGACTAGAAACATGTATTCTCAGTCGCCTTTAGTCCAGGATATACCGTGCTGTGTCGTTTCGCAAACTGCCACGTTGTCGCAACAACCTTTTTTTCCGAAACCTTTCCATCAGCTTTCCATCAGCACTCTTGCGGGATAGAGATGAGTGTGTGCTGTTCCTCTCTGTTAGATATACTCGCAGCAGTCTCTGGTCGTGAGGATCCCGNACCACCACCGTCTCTCTCCAATCAAGTTTCCTTCTCCCACTCTCTCTCCACCTCTCTCTCAACCTCTGTCTCTCGGCCTAACACGGTCGACTACCCAGTGCCCCAAGTAACGCCCAGGACGGGCGTGCTGCACCCCGCGTAGTTTACCTTTCACACTAGTGCGATATCACGGTATCTGCGCGCGGGCGTAGCCTTCCGGGGGTTGTGCAGCCACGCGCAATCGGTAGACTCCCACAACAACATAAACCATGGAGGGCATCGACCTCTCCGCCCTTAGCGGGGAAGAGCTACAGCAAAAAGTGGAGGAGATCGTCCAGCAACGAGTGCAAGCCGAACTCGAAGCCAACAGGATAAACGAGGGTGAAGTCACCTACGCCCCACCACCTGCCGGCAACCCGGTCCCACCTACCGGCAGCCAGCCATCACCCTCCAGCCAGGGTAAAACAGCTACCTTCAACGACCCCAGCAGCGTCGCACACATCGTGGCGCAAGCGGCCAAGGCGACAGCTGAGGCCATCGCTGAACAACAGGGCTTTGCCCGCTCAGGCACGTTACGTGTAAATCCAGGCTCAGAAATCGAACCTTGGCTTGGTAGTGTGAAGAAGGAGCAGGATCTGTACATTATGTTTGATATTTTTCGTGGTAAGATGATTTCATATTTTCAGGAGGAGGGTGTGCACGATGCGTTGGAACTGGAGGTTGAGGTCAAGGTCGGAAAAAGGGGTGTGAATGTAGGAGACCTTCGGAGACTTTTTGGTAATGAAGTGGTAGACAAATCTTTCAAACTGTGGAATATCCTTATCAGCAAGGTTTTGTATCCCCCGATTCAGAGCTTGATTCTGGCGTGTGAGAGTCCTCAAAAAGGCTGGAAAATAGTGACAGAATTCTATCAGGAGAAAAAGCAGTCAGAAAAGTCGAGGTTGGAGCAGGACTGGAAGGAGTTGGAGATGAAAGAGTCCGAGAGTCCACAGGATTACATTGCCCGCTCAAAGGCCCTTCGCCTGCGTCTCGCATCTGTAGGCACGATTAAGGATGAAACAGATGCCAACAAAGACATTGCTCGTGGCCTTCCCTCTTCGTTGTATGCCGTGCAAAAAGGAATACTGCTTGCCCATGATGTCCTGACGTTGCGTACCCTTGAGACTGTGGTGAGGGACGCCCACGTGGAGATGGAGCGCGAGAGGAGCAAGGGGGAGAGGCGCGAGGTGGAGCTCGCTCTCGCCGCGTCCGGCATGGGCCGGCGCGGCGGGAGCAGTGGGGGGGCATCCGGGGGTCAAGACGGCGGTCACGTAGTAGCTGGCGGCCAAGATAGAGACGACCCCATTCGGATTTTGCCGCTACCACCAGTCCAAGCTTCACATCAACGAGCAGTGTCGTTTCCAGCAGCAACTGCGGCGCGCGCGTTCGAGAGAGGACGCCGAGGAACGCCCCTCAGGCGGCGGCAGCCGCGGTGGCGGCGGTAGCCAGCGAGAGGGTAGACCGCCGCCGGGGCCCGGCCGCGGTGGCGGGCAATGGGTGAGGATAGAAGGGCAGCAGCACCACACCGTTCATGGTGGCGGTGGCGGTGGCTGGAGCCAAGCCTCACACCCCCCGCGACCTCTTCGTGGACGTGGGCCTGGTGGTCGTCTGGGGCGTCACCGGGGTGGTCGTAGGCGCGCTGGACGCCACAGCAGTGACGGTCGTGCCGAGAGAGAGCGGGCAGGGAGAGGCCCGGGGAACGCGCGTTCTGGCCACGGAAGAGAGCAGGCGTACGTTGTGTCCTACGCCCACGATAATGGTGGCTACTACAAAGACTACGGCGATTACGGTGACGGATACTACAACTACGACGGCTACCACGACGCCGGGTACGCTCGCTACGCCGGCGGTGGGGACAGCTACAACTACTCTTCACCGTACGAAGACCGCCGTTCATCTGACGGCGGCATCCACTACGTCTACTACCCTTCCGCCGGCGAAGATTCGTTATCCGAGCAGCCACGTCAGCTTCCCCCCGCGAGCAGCAGCAGCACCGCTTCCTCCTCGTCCGCTACCCCTTCACCTGGCGCGCCTCCGTCTTTGGGCTACCTCCACCTCTGCACGGCACAATCGGTGCCTCTAGGCAAGTCTCACCCTGAAGATATTGTTGGTAGGATAGGAGTGACGATTGGAGTAGAGTCTGCTGCGTCTGCTTCGTCTTTGCTGAGTGTGGAATCTAGTGACGGTCCGCCTGGTAGCGAGAGATGGGTAGCTGACTCAGGAGCCAGCAACAGTTTTACCAACAGCAACCTGCACATGTACGACCTGCGAGAGATCCCCGCCAGTAGGAAGTATGTCGTTGTAGGTGATGGTCGCCTGCTCGAAGTGCAAGCTATCGGTAGCATCAATCTTTGATTCTTTCAGGAGGATGAGAATGCTGAAAATACGACGATGTGTGTGAAGCTCACTGACGTTTCTGTAGTAGAGAGCCTGAGCGTCAACTCGAGTTTCAACGCATGCTGTTTCTTTGAAGCAACAAATCCTCTACGACGAGCGTGGTGCAACCCTACCAAATGGACTGCTCTTTGCTAGAGAGGACAAAGCGTCTGCAGCGCGGCATGCGGTTGCCGTACGACCCATCTGCGACTATGGTAGACTCTGCTGCTTTGCCCGCATTCTTGACTGCCCCCGATTCCGCCCCCGCCGTTGGCTCCACGCGTTCCCCTTCCCAGAAAAGGGGCTCCGCGAAATCATTGGTGTCCGTGTTGCGTGTTCCTCCCGCTGGCTCTGCTAGCGTAGTACCTTTGGCTGATAGCGTCCCGCCCACTGGTCCCACCAGTGTAGTACCTGCGAGTGAGAGCGTCCCGCCCGCCGGCTCTGCCGACGTAGTACGTTCCTCGGCGTCCGATTTTGTGTGTGGGGGTACTTATCCGGGTATGGATCTTGGAGATACGAGTGTGCTCACCGACGAGCAGCTCATGGATGGCTATGATGACACCCCGTATCAAGATTTTTTCCCCGTGTTTGTCCCAGAGAGTGACGCTGCGAATGTGGCTGGTGTTTTGGATAGCATTGATGGGGGTGCTGATTTTGACTTGAGTGCGGCTGCGCTTGGCCCTGGTGCGTCCCCGTTTGCTCTTGGTTCGACTGAAAAGTCCGTTGACATCAACCGCTTCCACCGCTCCCTTGCCCACGCTTGCGAGCCGCTTTTGAGGGAAACTGCCCAGCAGAGAGGCACGGTGCTCACGGGCAAGCTGGAAGCTTGCACGGACCGCATAAGGGCGAAGGGCAGGCGAGGGTCGGTGCCGCGGGGGCCGGGAGCGCGAGCGTCTATGCCCCTCGGCGTGTTCACCTGGACCTGTGTGGATCGCTGGTGCCTTCCCTGGGCGGCAACCTCTACCTGTTCGTCGCCGTGGACAGCGCCTCGCGGTGGAACAAGGCCCACGGTCTCCGGCGGAAGTCCGACACGCTGGCGGCAACGAAAAGGCTGCTGGCGCACGTGGGGCGACGACCTCGGGCGCCTCGGGTGGTTCCGCGTCGACAACGGCACCGAGTGAACCCGCAGCGACTTCCGGCGCTTCTGCGACGACAACGGCATCGGCGTCGAGTTCACCCCGCCTGGCGTTCCGCAGGACAACGGCGTCGTCGAGAGGACCATCTGGCGCATCATGAAGGCCGGCATGGCCGCCCGCCGCAGCGCTGGCCGTGTGTTCAACGTCGACTTCGCCTCCATCCCCGGCCTCGACGAGCGCGGTGACCGTCTTTGGATGGAATCGGCGAAGTGGGCCGCCGACGCTCTCAACCAGTCGGCGACCAAGGCCAACCCCGGGCGGCGCTCGCCGCACGAGATGTTCACCGGCGAGCAGGGGCCTTTCCGCGTGCTGCCGTTCTTCCAGCCCGGCTTCATGCGTGAGGATCGCCGCACCAAGCTCGACGACCAGGCCACTCTCTTTCCTCTACCTGAACGGCGGCGACAACCACCCGAGCGGCACCGTCAAGGTCCTCAAGGCGTCCACCGGCCGCGTCGTCTACACCACCAACGTGTCGTGGGTGACGTCGGCGCCAGCCGGCGAGGGGGGGTTCCGCTGGTATCAGCGCTGCGCCGATACCCCCCCCATTCACGCCGCCGGTCGTCTCGGTCAACTTTGGTCCAGCACCGACGCCTTCGACCGCCGCACCGCCGCCGCCAGCGCCCACGCCGTCGCCCGCTCCCGCTCCCGCTGCCGCTTCGCCCCCTGCAGTAACGCCGCCGCCAGCGACCACGCGGCCGCCCGCTCCCACGCCTTCACAGCCGCCCTCTGCCACTTCGCCGTCACCGTCGGTGACCCCCGCTCCTGGCCAGCCGTCCGCTGTCGCTTCGCCTTCACCATCGGCAACCCCCGATCTAGACCAGCCGCCGTCGCCGCCGGACCCCGCGATGCCCCCGCTCACGGCTCACGCCATGCGGCAGCTTCGCCCGGGTACAAAGGCCGAGGGTATGACAGACCCGCGGCTGTCAAGCCGTACGAGATCGGGCACAAGGCACAGCACAGGACACATCTCGATGCTAGACAAGAACACTCTGGTGTCGATGCTGGAGGCTCGGAGCGGGGTGGATGAGGAGCGTAGGGATCTGGGGGGGGCGGAGGCCGGAGAGCCAGGGGGAGCGGGGGCCGGAGAGCAGGCGGGAGCACTCGCAGCGGTGGACCCGGGGACTGGAGGAGCGGGCTTTCCACTCGCATTGGCCACGCTTCTCGCCAGCCGGGAAGACATCGAGGCCACGCTGCGAGACCAGCGCCCGCCGGAGCAACGCCCTGACCTTCCGCACTGCCAGGCCAGCGACCTTCGTGTTCCGAAGAGCTACAAAGAGGCCATGGCGTCGGAGTACTAGCACCTTTGGAGCGACTCTATGCAAAGGGATTTTTATGGCTTGTTGGAAGCGGGGACTTTTACTCCGGCGAAGTAGCAATTAGTGGAGAACGCAATTAAGCTAAGTGGGTATTCGATTGGAAGGCAAATGAGTTTGGATGGCCCACACAGGTTAAGTCAAGACTTGTAGCGAGAGGTGAAATGCAGAGAGAGTACATTGACTTTGGGGAGTTGTACGCGCCTACCGTCTCTGTTTCTTGTGTTAGGATGTTGGCTGCTTTGGCGTGCGAGATGAAGGATGTCATTTCGATATTGAGTAAGCTTTAGTGCGTTGGAGTTGGAGACAGACGTGTACATGCGTTTGCCGCAGGGATGTGGAGCTCTGTCTGCAATGATTGTAAAACTAGGCAAGAGTCTGTATGGCTTGAGACAGGCATCTAGGCAGTGGCATGCAATGCTGAAGAGGTGTTTGGTGGCGTTAGGTGTTGAGCAGTGCATGGCCGATGCTTGTGTGTTTCGTTTGATTGAGGATGGATGTGTTGTTTTAATTTTGGTAGTACATGTCGATGACATTTTTGCTGTGGGAGAGAGGGAGAGATGTGACAAGTTTGGCGCCGACCATAACAAGTGCGTGCCAGTGAAGAACCTGAGAGAGTTGAGATGGTATTCTGGGTGCTTTTACGAGAGGAACAAGGAGACCGGTAGGTTGACGATGCCTCAGCAGACGNATGGCCGATGCTTGTGTGTTTCGTTTGATTGAGGATGGATGTGTTGTTTTAATTTTGGTAGTACATGTCGATGACATTTTTGCTGTGGGAGAGAGGGAGAGATGTGACAAGTTTGGCGCCGACCATAACAAGTGCGTGCCAGTGAAGAACCTGAGAGAGTTGAGATGGTATTCTGGGTGCTTTTACGAGAGGAACAAGGAGACCGGTAGGTTGACGATGCCTCAGCAGACGTTCACGGATGAGCTAGCAGCAGAGTATGGAGTAGTGGGAGGTAAGAGCGTTCCGATGTCTTCGGGGGTGAAGCTTTCCGATTTTGATGCGGATGAGGTGGCGACAGACTTTCCGTTTCGTGAACTAGTCGGATCTTTGATGTGGCTGGCGACTCAGACTAGACCAGACATTGCGAATGCAGTAAGGGCAGTATCTAGGTATTGCTCATCTCCGAAGCAGGTCCACTGGGATGCAGCGATAAGTATTTTAGGGTATGCGAGGAGGACGAGTCACTTCGGTATTTTATTGCAGAGAGGTACGGTAGAGGGTTTCAGTTTGCAGGGGTACCCTGATGCGGACTTTGTAAGCAAGGCAGCAGACCATAGGCCGGTATCAGGGGGGATCGTCACGTGCGGAGGAGGCGCCGTGTCTTGGTTTTCCAGAACGCAGAAGTGTGTTACGCTTTCGACGACAGAAGCAGAGTATGTGGCGCTTGGTGGCGTAATGAAGGAGATTGGTTTTGAGGCAGATTTGGCGTTTCATGTTGCCGCAGGTCGGCATGCCGTGCATCCCAGTCTTCGAGGACAACCAGGGGGCGATTCAACTAGCGCAGAACCCCATCTCAAACTCGAACTCGAAGCACATAGATGCAAGGCACCATTTTCTCAGGAAACTGGTAGAGAGGAAGGAAATTTCGGTGATCCACGTGCCGTCGCCATACCAGCGTGCAGATTTTCTTACGAAGAGCTTGCCGAAGGGCACTTTACCGTGATTTTGTGATGAAACTAGCATGAACATTTATTGTTTCTTTTATGGATTGTGGATTGGTTTTGTTTTCATTTTCCGCGCCAATTATTAATTACGCGCGATTCAGCATTCATTCATGTTTCTTTGAACGATTTTTTCTCTCTTATATTTTGGGATGGTCTTGATGGCATTTATTCTGGAAAAGACGTCTTTTGGTTGAGATATCGGGTGTTAGCGAAGTTTTCAGTGAGAAACTGTTGCGAGCAGGGCGGATGTTGGATATACTCGAAGCAGTTTCTAGTCGTGAGGATCCCAAGGGGATACGTGTTGGGAATTTCGTGCGTTGTAGGGTACCACCGGTGCAGTCACGGGAACCCCTTTGGCGCGGTTGGTACGACGAGGCTTGCGTGCGTGCTGCCCACTTCTTCCTTCTCTCCCTCCAACGCCACCGCCATCTCTCTTCAATCAAGTTTCCTTCTCCCACTCTCTCTCCACCTCTCTCTCAACCTCTGTCTCTCGGCCTGACACGGTCGACTACCCAGTGCCCCAAGTATCGCCCAGGACGGGGCTTGCTGCGCCCCGCGTAGTTTACCTTTCACTCCCCCCCCCGGGAACTCCATGGGCAATGAGGAGAGACCCATCGCTGCAGAGGGTCTACTTGCAACACTCTCTCTCGTCCGTCAACCCTTTCTTCATACATAATTGTTTCAGATTGTGTACGGTAGATCGTGTTCGACGACAAAGCACGCCAGAGAACGAAGGCACACCTATCGGCATCATGGGGGCACGGTGTATTTTAAATGGAGCTCCTGACGTGCCCCTACATGGTGTTGGCATTGCCATGATCTTCTATTCTCTCGTACAACGGAAATGCAAAATGGGATACATGGCTTGCTGTCTTCGGCGTTGACTTAATGACCCGAACTGTCACGGTTGACATCGGCGACAACACACATGCGTAAACTCCACCTCAGAGGACGTAGTCCCTGAGTTTACGTGGGGGTCAGGGACTGTGGGCGGGTGGTCTAGTATGCTCGAATACAGCTTCGCTGATATCATGTCTTCTAACGTCCGTTGTAGAGGGCGTGTCGGAACTGGAATGCCGAGGCTTGTTAGGGACTAGGACGAGGATCCGTACGATTCGTAGGCGAACCGATTCATGATCAAGACCATGTTCCGTTTGATAAACAAGTGCTTCGCCGACAGTTTTCTCCGCATTATCTGCCCCTCTCTAGACGTATGCTTGGGTTCGGGACAGATAATATATCTAGGGGTACCAGAACCTGCCGCCAGCCGGCACGTCTAGTCACTTATTTAAAATCAATCGTCTGTGTGTTGTTCGACGGGTTCCCTAAGTCCACCATGTCGTTTGAATTTCCACTCGCTCGAACATCTTCGATTAAATGTATGGATGACACAAAAAAAAAACAAGCGGAAGCTTTTCCCTCGCTCTTGCCCAGCTCAGCGGTCGTTTCTTCCCAACCGTTGTCTGTGTTTGACCCCGTTCGATTTTGGCCCCTCGCTCTTTCCACGTCTGTGTTCCGCTCTTGGCTTGGCTCGATTTGTCGTCGTGCACCAACCCGTGCACATACTCTTGACCACCAAGAAATGAACAAAAAGGAGGGAGCCGAATCCTGAGTACCAAAGTGTGCTGTTGTCGACACGTTTTCAGTGTCCTGGACGAGACACCGGCGTAGACACCCCCACTGCAACTTTACGCCTAGAGGAGCCTTCTGCACATCTATGTATCCGCTTTGGGCTACCATAAGTAGTGAACGACGTTGCCGGAGCGCACTCACGCGTTCGACCATACACAGAGAGAGACAGAGAGAGAGAGAGAGAGAGAGAGACAGACAGAGAGAGAGAGAGAGAGAGAGAGAGAGAGAGAGAGAGAGAGAGAGACAGACAGACAGAGAGAGACAGAGAGACAGACAGACAGAGAGAGACAGAGAGACAGAGAGAGAGACAGACAGAGAGAGAGACAGACAGAGACAGACAGAGATACACACAGAGAGCGACAGAGAGGGACAGAGACAGAGACAGAGAGGGACAGAGACAGAGAGATAGAGAAGGAGGGAGAGAGAAAGAGAGAGAGAGAGAGGCAGAGACAGAGAGAGAGACAGCGAGAGAGAGAGACAGAGAGAGAGACAGAGAGAGAGAGAGACAGACAGACAGACAGACAGACAGACAGACAGACAGACAGACAGACAGACAGACAGACAGACAGACAGACAGACAGACAGACAGACAGACAGACACAGAGACAGACAGTAGCGGAAGGAGCGCTTTGTAACTCTATTTGATCATGGGAAAGGAGATGTTGGGTAAGTCTCAGAAAATTTACTTAAAAGTAAGAAACGGACGACAACACCAAATTGCTAGCCTAACCCGAACCCTTTACCCATGACGCAGAATGACAGAAGCTGTAGAGGAGCAACTGCGGCACTGGGAAGAGAGCGAAAACAACAAGAAGGCCCCATGGATGGCGACCCAAATGTCCGGATGGCGAAGCGGGAAACCAAGGGAGGGGAAGTGCAAGAAGCAGGCCCGCGAACGGACGCGGACTGTAGCAACACCAGCAGTATCAACAGCACAAGCAGCAGCAGCAGCAGCAGCAGCAGCAGCAGCAGCAGCAGCAGCATTGAGAGCGTTGCCAAAGGTGTCGGGTGCAAGCATGAAACCCCCGGTATACTCCACGCCACTGCCGCCTGCTCCTCGTCAGCCGCCACCACCTTCATGCCCCTAGAGGCTCTAAAAGCTGCCCGGGAGCTCGTTTTTTTTCCTGCTGCTGGCGCTCCAGCTTCGACTGTCGAGAGTCTCGCCCAGTCGGGCCAGATCAAGACCGACGCTACGGCCACCGGGATGCACGGGAGGGTGGTGGGTTTGGGGAGGGCTACGGGGGCATCTTCGGAAGACGGGGTGTGCGGGCAGGCGGTGGCAGAGCATTGTAAGGAGAGGAAGGAGGGTAGCGAGGCGAAGGGTCTCTCGGAGGAGGACGTGGGGGATGGTTTCGACGCAGGGCCGGGGGAGGAATTGTCGAGGGCGGTGACGGAGCAGGATGTCGAAGGTGACGGCGATAGTACCGTGGGACTGAAGAGGGAGAAGGGCGCTGACCCTGACTCGGTGGCACCTCGTCAAGCCGGAAAGTTGCTCAAGACGGAACAAGGCAAATCCTCTCGCTCGCAAACAAGAGAATCACGTAAACACACGCTGGGCGAGATAAAGTATCGGCTGAAGCAGTCTCGATATCGAGACTAGCGGATGTCGACAAAGGCTGTAGTCTACATGTTGTTGTTGTTGCCCCCCAAGACAAGCTCGAAAACGTCAGAATCGGGGGTCAGCTACCTAGAGACGATACAGGTGACCCCCTCTCCTCCCTTGCCATAGCCCTGATGGTAGGGGACCTCTCCGTGTTTGAAACCTACGGTTTTATCAATTCTGCAGAGCGTTGGAAGAGAAAACGGGCGCGTTGATCCGCCACCCTCGTTACATCGCTCACGCCTCCCCTCCAACATTTTTCTCTCCGCTTACTTGCACTTTGTATCAATTCAAAGAAAAAACCTGTCGCGCAAGGGGGGCGATAGGACACGCAGCTTAATCAACTCACTAAGCTACTCCTTTCCGCGCGCGCTCGCCAACCAAACTCACGACCCGCGGACGAGCCTAGGGGCCAACCGCCGTCTAACTTTGGAGCCAAGTAAAAGGTTCACCAGGAATGATCCGTTTGTCCTTTTTTACCCTGTCGCATTCCCTCTCTTCGCTTGCCACCTTGCCGATGTCTCTTGCACTGTTAACAGCGTCATGGAGGCGATCCTTATTCGATCAAGTTACACCATTAGAGCAATCAACATTGACTGCTCTAATGGTATAACCTGATCGAAAAAAGATCTGCGCTCAGCTCATTGGCACCCGGCTGGATCACATTTAATCACTGGGATTGAGAGTAGGGATCTCCGGGGACGGACCCCTCGCCAGACGCTGATGGTTTTAGGTGCAATTTTTGCAAAGAAAAGTGATCCAGCCGGTATTTGAACTCGTCGTGATTCAACAGCTTCATGTGTCGACCAAAGACCTCCAGTGCTCGTCATTGACGCTCAGCGAGGCGTGCCGGCGCGCACCGACTTTGGTGGTAGTGGTTGGTAGAGGCTATCTGCCACTCGAACGCCTGGCTGGCTGCAAGAAGAACCACGAGGCCGGAGTGCCCCCGGCTACGGCCGGCAACATGATGACCGGGCCGGGCCTCATACCGGAGTCAAAAAGGTTACCTCGAATCCTTCCGCGCGGTCTGGTGTGTTGATATTCATGAGGCACAATAAAGTTGACTAACTTGATATCTAAATTGTACCTCGCAGTCTCATAAACCAAAGGTGGGCACATATTTACTGTAGGCACCATTGTCCATCGCAGTCTCATAAATGGCTGGCATCGGGCTTGGACAAGCAAGCCGGCTTCCGGAGACAGTGCAACCCGACATGAGCCGTAATGTGTGTCCTGGAATACCCTCGGCCTGTCCTCTCATAATACGGCCCCGCTTGTCTGCGGGTGGCGTGACATTGCTAACGCAAGGCTGCACGACAACAGGAAGACGAGCTCATCCGCCCACAAAAAAATGAAACGGCCGCCGGTTTTTGTCAATCGTCAGAGAAACCAAAAATGATGCGGCACAACCTTGACCACGTACAAGTTTAGCAACCGGCCCATATCCGTGGACCTCATCTTTTCTACTCTCCTCGGGACCGTTTGCCCTCATGGATCGAACGCACACAAAAAGCTCCAGGAAGGTGCAGTGATGTGATATGTCTTTTAGTCCTGGTCCAGCCGTTACCGACTGTGTAGCTTGCTGGAATTTCGACGCCTTTCATTGTCGACCGCAATCGCCACCTATGAAATAGTTGTTGGGAATTGAATGACCGGTGAAGACTTTACCCTCCAGCGGTGCTTGATCAGGCACACCCACGCGTCGGGAACCAACTAGATTGATCCCGCGAAATATACGAAGGAGAGAGGGAGAACGTAATCCGCGCCATCGCCATGGGTTGAGTTGCCAGCCCCTGCGTAACGTCAATCGCGATCCACTGCCTGCCGGAAGAGCACAAGGTTGGCGTACGTTACAATCCTTCGCGCAAGAGGTACGACGCCCGGCATTATATTCGATTTGTTTTGTGTAGTAGTGGTGGCCTTCATTCAGGTTGGCACTCGATTGGTCGCCGTCAGGGGTTCTTGGCAAAGTTGAAGTCTTAAGGACAAAACATATGAAAGCACTGGGCCTATTTTTGTTGAAGTACGTACATATTGCTGTAGTTGGCTTGTGACGACGGAAGGCGTCCGTCAGAAGGGCCAGTACGGACATTAGAAGGTACTGAGCGGAGACCGGAACGGTTTTTAATGTGAAGACAACAGCAACAACCCAGACTCTCCACCTTCTTCATTTGGGCCGGGCGAGGGGGGGGGGGGGTGTACTCATAGCCGTGCATGCCGTAGTCAGTAGACCATTGATCTCGCATCCCTACAAAGCCGGGAAAGAGCACGCCGGGTTCTCACCGGACCAGGCTCTCACATCACCAAGCGCGAAGCGCCGTGAGGTATTCGGCGAGTCGCATGAAGGGTGCGCTGCATCCTGCT